GTGTGCGTTATGCCAAAACGATCGTATACACGAGACAGTACTACTTCGCGACGGTAACTCGGTTTGTGCTCAGGAGATGACTAAGAGTACTCTCTCGATGTTGCATCCACGACATGCGACCGAGATCCACGTTCACCCGAACGATATCATCCACCCAATGCACATATCGCACAGCGAAAACGTAATATAATACATTTGATAATCGTGCGACGCAAAATCTCGTAAGCTTCTTCGCCGGACGAACCGGCGTTATCGCGAGACATGGAGAGAAACGTACAAGTGAATTTAGTGCCAGGAGCCGGTAACCATGTTTACGATATTAGGACGGTAGGCATAAGAAGGGTAAATATAATCGGATTAGCGTATAGTTGGGTCTCCGTAATCGCGATCGTATATTTCACGGCGCGAATTACACGCGCCCTCGGAATGCATCAGGAATACACGGTACGTCGTATTGCGCTGGCAAATACCGCCGTCATCGATATTCGTAACGCGGATCCAATATGTGTGCGAATATCTGTGTGGGTGAATACCTGTTAGCGATGTGAGTAATAGCATCTCGGAGTAAGGCGAGATGGAAATCGTTGCAACTGGGTAAGTTGTAACTACGTTTATTGCCTCTCTCGGTGTGTAATAAAAAAAAGACGGTCCCCTGTCGAACAAGACGGGAAATAAAATGACGTAATGACGGAATGTCGTTGCTCCTGGTAATAACCTGGTACAGCCACGCGGATATCTTCGCGTCGCTCCGCATGTATATTTGTAGTCGGACCGTCTAGGATGCGTAACGGATCATAAATATACAAGAAAATACGATGAATATTCCCGCGCCGCAATATAAAGCTGGCGGATAATGGCCGGGATGTGTTTACGATATCAAAGTGACACAAGAAAGCTAAATATAATTTAACGACGCACTTTGCGCTCATCTTTAACGTCTACCTTGCATTACCGACGGGGACGAATAACTTCCTCATCTCGCGATGATCCTTCAGTGTACTGACGTACACACCCGTACAATATGTCTTCGATAAATATGCAAATAAGAGCTAATGCGAATTTCTAAGTGCGATATATCTTAAAGAGAGCCGCGACACGGAATGCACGCGTTTTCATTGTGCAATCGGGTAATGCTAACGCTCGCGCGACCATAACGTAATTGTATAAGGGATCGCAATTAAATCGAGTTTGCCGAGTTCGCTCTATATGCAAGATCCTCTCTCTCTCATTCTCTCTCCTCCCCCGCCCCATTTCATCGCCGCGGTGTAGATCCCGAAGAATCCGTTCGTCCTCGAGTTCCTAAGCAATTACGACAGTTTCCGAGAGCATTTCGCGATCGCCTGCAGTTCGGCGTTCGAGATGGCGACACGGAGGGGGGGGGGGGAGAGGGAAGGAGGATGGCAAGAAGAGTACGAATCCCCAGTCTCGTTCCCTCCCCAGCCACCCCCTTCAGCCCAGCCCGCGTCCATTGGCGAAGACCTCATACATATTAATGGAGATCGGATCGATTTTCCTGCGCGCTCGCTTCTTGCTGTGTTTAGGGACATCGACGTTCCGGCGCATAAGCTCTTCGGGCCGCCCGCAATGGTTATTATGCCATTAACGTAATGAAGTTAGGTTGCGGAGAGGTGCCGCTGGGGTGTTGGCGGCAGGTCCCGTCGTGGAAAAACGCGCTGAAATACAGGCGACCAGGAAATCTTCGATGATAAACTGCGCGTACGTTTTTCTTGCATCGAACGTTGGCGATCGATGGGCGGCCGATTTATGTAATTATAGAGCTGGGGATGCTATAGTAATAATTCTAAGTTATAACAAACCATATCTCGTTCCCTCACTTCAAAAGTAGGTTACAATTAAAAATATATGATTTTCGAGTTATTATCGTAAATAACTTAGGTAGAGATTATTTTATCAATTATCAATAAATTAACTTAACTTTACAGTCCGTTCGCTAAATTCGCGTCGATCTTAAGATTATAAAAGAGATTATAATCTTCTACAATTCATGCAAAAATATATTTTGCTGCTTCAACTAAAATTATAGCTGTTTTTTTGTGTCTGATAGAAAATTATGTATTATATGCATAGAATTTATTAGCACAAATCTAAATTCTATCTCTGCCACCTATACGATTAGGTATAATATATATATCCAATATTGTAGTACTTGCTAGAAATTTATCTATTCCAGCTATTTTTCGTACTTAGATAATTTTCGCTGTAACTGCAAGATCATTTTTTTGAAGAATGATATATTTTGAGTTGTATCATTTTTGTAAGTAAAAAGAAGAAACAAACGGCATTTAGAGATAATTTTGATGATCAAAGTTGAAGAAGAAATTATCTTATTTTGAATTTAGACATTTTAGTTGATTAAGGTAAAAATATAAACCATTGATAATATTTCGAATTATATCACTTTTGATGAATTATTTCGAATGTCATAATTTTGTATAGGGCATCAAATTCGTCACAACTCAAAAATTAATTATGTTTTTAAAAGTATATTCTTTTTGTCAATAATTTTCTGTTAAGCTGAAAAATACTTGTAGAAATATTTTTATCATTTTTTGAAATAAGGAAACAATATGTAATAGTTATCAGCCACTACGTAATTATTAACCAACAGAATTTAGCGCTTCTACCTATTAATAAAATAAATGAGTCTCTCCAGTAAGATTATTGTTTGTTATTAACCGTAATGATTTAATCAATGATTAGGATATTTTAATTATTTATCTATTATTATCGAAAAACGTACATTTAATTGTACAATAATCTCGTGCATAATTCGAGTCGTTTCACGCAGGGTGTAAAGGTTTAAAACTCTCGACGAACTACAACGTTCCATACGTGATCGTCTTTTATGCATGATTCAGTAAACGACAATAAACGGTTTATAGACAGGTTTATAGAGACGTTTAGTCGCACTATTACCAGGTCGATGCAGCTGACGCGTTGGACATACAGTTGATATGTTTGTACACTGAAGAGACAAGGTTCTTGAGCCAACATTCGATGCATATAAAGAGTTGCCAATTAAAATTAATATTCTTCATATCAACGCTTCATAAGAGACTTTGTTCCGATCACATAGATCTAACAATATTAAATTACTAATGAAAAACTAATAAAAAAAAAACTCAAAGACAAAAAACCTTTTTCAGGTGTTGTAACACAACGTGTATAAAAAAATCATGTAAATAATTTAACAAATTCAACGAAAAGCTATTTTTTTAACATTTTCGCTTTAAACGAGACACAATGGGTTTCCCCAACTTGTCGAAAGCAAGAGATATATTCGACTGGACTTCCGGCTACGATTCTCTACGCTAATCACGCGCCTTTCTCCGGCGGACGCCAAGAAGGACGTCAGAAGAAAATTCTGCAGCGTCCGATGCGTCGAACCGTGAAAGGATCTGCTCAAAGGTTCCTTTTACAGCGTCGTCCTTTTGATCGCCGAAGATTCGGACGGCCGGAAGGACAAGGATATAAAGGGAAGTGAGCGAGACCAATTAGCGTTCGCGCAATTTTATCAAGCGAACACCGTGTGATTCAACGAGAACGGATTAAGCCGTGCTACGTGGCTCTCGATGACGGATTTAATTCTCTGTGCAGGCAAATGTTTCGTTCTGAACGGCTCTTGAAGACCCGTTCATGAAACCGGCTCGACCACTATTTTAACGCCGCGTAGGATTTACCCTGTGAAAGACCAAGGCGATCAATTCAATCCGACAGAAAAATCGCAGTGAAAATACCTCGCAATAAATCGCGAAAATATTATGTTACCAATTCTAATAAAATCAATATAAAAATTATTTCAATATCTATTCGAAAGTAAAATATATTTTTTTTCCATATCATGATTATTTTTAACTTTTTTAATTTATAATATTCACGATTTATAACATTCATACACTGCTAAAGATAAAATGTTTATATTTTTTAACTTAAAGACCTACAGTGGAGTCTTTTTGTACAAAAGTGTGTTAATTTTAATATATTTGCATATTTCAGAAAGTCCGGAGTACGTCTTTCAGATAAAAATTAATATTTTATTTTTTAACAGTGTATATATATATATGCGAGTTCTCGGAAAGATATCGCATCTGCCTATCGTTTCATCCGATTGTACTTGGTACTTCTCAACGAGAAAATGAACAGGATCCCACACAAAGGGTCACGCGCGCGATATCTCGCTGTTTCGCGTTTCCGTATAATATTCGACGAGTCCTCGTCGACGAGATTACGAGTACCGGGATGGTATCCGCCCTGGTCGTGATACGTAATGCGATTTGCGGTGTACTCGCCGCACAAAAGATTACCGCGGCGAGTTCCAACGAGCCATGTGCACGGGATCTTGGGTGCGCTCTCGGTAATACTTCCGCTGCCTAATGCGGAAGAAGGGCCCTTTCAACAGAAAGCAGTCTCGAGGTACTACGGGTTTATTGCTTTCGGCGCTATCTCGGGATCTCGTTACGCAATACGTAATAAAATCATGCAGGATGTACGCGATCCAGTACGTCATAATCGTAATATTCGACGAGATTGGTTTCGATCGATATAAGTAAGACAATTTCTTCATTTGACATCATTGAAACGATTATTTGTGATTAATACTAGTAATAGTTATTGAAAGTTATTTGCTACTTAAACATTATTATTATTATTATCATTTATTTATTACTCTTTATTTCGCATCGCAACATACATATATTTCGGTTTTTTAAAATAAACAGTTTAATTTCATTAATTTATATGCCTCGTAAATGTGAAGAAACAGTTAATATAAAGTTTCTTTTTTTTTGTATAAAACGTAATTATTCCTCATGTATATTAAAATGAATATTAGTAGCGATGATTTCTAATTCTGTATCTTTTTTTATTACTATAAAAAAAAGTATACGATTGTGGATAACTGCTATCTCTTTGAATTTCAATTTCTCATTTTCAATTTCTACTGTCATATTCAATAATCAATTGCACGCTCGATGTTCAACTTACAATATCACAGGCATCAGCGGGTGAAAAAGTAATGGTAAAATAAAAAAATATTTAGTATATTTTTTGATTGTTGCACTTACATGCGAGTGATTCCACATCTTCGGTTTCGGACTCGATCTCGCACTGTTGGTCGCGTTTCCGCTTGCGGAATTGTTGGAAATATTGCCGGACGACGCGGTGGATTTGATGGACGGTTTTTGTGCCTTTTGTATTTGCGTGGCTACCGATGCCGAGGGAGTCGCGGTCCGTTGCTGTTGCTGCTGCTGTTGCGTGGTTGTCTGCTGTTGCGTTTGCTGCATGATCTGCTGGATGAGCTCCAGCTGTTGTTTCGTGAGGCCATCATTACTGGCACCGGGAGACGTGGCGCTCTATAAAATATTATTAGTGGATACTTATAAAAGAAACTGATTTTTAAATCATTTTAAAAAATCTGTTAATATATTGCTAAGACTTTATAAACCATTATCTTTTCTCTTATATCAGTCTCCTACATCGAGTCATGAAATCTTCTCATTTTCATATTCTCGATATTTGAAAAATTCTCTTCTTGTCGCCGTCGTGATAAAATAATGAACGTCGTTATACCATTCCTGCTGAAAAGCAGAAGGAGTGATTGTACATTTGATCCAATCTAATCGCAGTTGGCGGATCTAGTCTGTTCCGTTCGTGATCGGTTGCCAATGTGTGGCTGCAAACCATAATCGATCATACCTTAATAGAGCATAACGTAGCCTTAGTGTCCGAGTTGAGCTCACGTTCTGACAATAGTTAAACCGATCGAATTTAATAATTTACCGAACTGACGCGAAATTACGAACGCAGTGTCGCACGGCGCCGCAATCTCGACATCCATTAAAACGAGCGCCGACTGTAATTCCGCCCGTATATAAACGCGTTGCAATAAACCGTAAATATATCGCGTATCGACGTGTCCGTCAACTAACGCTACTGTTATACATATATGCGCACGTGATGCCTAGAATATCGTGTGTGTTAATCCGTCTTTGTATCCTATTAAAGCGGTCACTGTGTATATACGGAGATGTGCATTATGATTGCACATTAGTGTGGAAATAGCCTTATGTTTGATATCTTAAAAACTCTAATATTTAAAAATATAAAAATAACAAATACACTATATAAAACGGAGAAAATGTAAATTTTTATTTCCTTCAAACATTCCATCGTTATGTAAATGATAAATCCATGTATCTACTATTATAATATTGTATATATAATATATGTAGCATTCGAGAGAAAAAAATAGGATTTTAATTTTATATTATTTTTTCGGATTTATATAAAGCAGAAAAAAGCGAGATAAAAAGCAGCCATTACTAAATCATTTTCGCGCATTATATGTGGGCGAGGTTTTTATACAACGCGTTTTATATAACGCGAGCTTAACGTACACGCTTGCGCGAACTACAAAAAACGCAGAAATATTCGCGATCAGCGAGTTCACACCTGCATGCTTGCACTGCCATGTTGCATGCTGTGCTTTGTTTTACAATTCAGCAATCGTGCGGCGCAGGGCGCGCTTTACCTACGTCGTTTCGAGCGTTACTACCGATTTTTCGATTGAGCCCTTTTCGAATGGTACACAAAAGTACAGAATGCCAATGTGTGCGCACACAGGAAATTCAGATGCGGGCGATACGATGTTCCAATTCGCATCGCGATTTTCGGGGAGGTCGTGAAAATCGCGACATCTAAACTTTCCTTTCGCGCGCGGGGATGAGAAATGTGGATGGTAAAAAGGTTGTACGAAATTTTTGATTAGAATATCATAATAATGCGAGACGAACTGAATTGCGCACTAAGAAAAAAAAAGATTGGCTGCTGCAGCAAGTTAGATGGTAAAATATGGTATAGCATTTTTAATTGGTTGCAGCAGTCAATTTTTGATTGTGTTAGCTTATCGAAATCCTGTACTAACATTACGGATAGGCTAACGCAACCAAAAATTGGCTGCTACGGCCAATTAAAAATGTTATGCCATCTAATTTGGCTGCAGCAGCCAATCTTTTTTTTTTTCAGTGTATCGTTTTCTCTTCGGTGAATTTACTATTTTTCGTTTTTTCCCCATTATTCACAAAGATCAAGACATAAGTATTGCAGTATCTCGACTTTACAGGTATCTGTAATTTTTTAATTAATAGAAAACAAGTATCCTTTTCTTTTTCATTAAATTGTAAGATAATACATGCAATGGCCGGTTCTCACAATTGATTCTTATATTTGAGACTCTGTTAAGCAGTCTTAAACCTTACTTACAAGACGGGTCACTAGTGACCCGAGCGATTCCTGTTCGTTTCTTTGAATCTTTCGATAATTATAAATTATACTACATTTTAATATTTTCCACAATGAAATTCCAATATTTATTCTAGAAAATTAAAAATATGTTAGTGAATTTTTAGAGATTTTTTAAATCATTCTGAATAGGTGAAAAAAATGACGGATTCTAGTGTTCTCGTTTGTATAATAGATGAGGCATCAAATTGTACTCTTGTAGGGTAAGGGTTAAGTTGTTATAAACCAGAGGGCTGTATTAACATTTTAAGATATTACTTAAAATAAGAACGAATTATAAGTACCGCTCTAAAGTGTAAAGTCTCCATATAAAAGAAAATTTATTTTATTAAAAAAAACCTTATTTGTAGAAATTAAACATTAATCAGCAATTTTATATATAATATTTATACCTGCCTTAATATAATAATAGATAAACAAAAAAGAGCTTTGCTTTTGTTTTTCATCTTAGAAGCTAAATTTTTCGACGTACTGTATAAATACGGTTTTATAAGTCAAATAATATAATTTTTTATTTTTGTTTATTTATTAAGTAATATATTTTAATTATTACTATATATGTAGGTAAAATAATTTTGAGATATATATACAATCTATTTTATTCTTTGTTAATAAATTACTAATTAATGTTTACTTTTTAAAAATAAGACTGTTTTTAAGGATATTTCCCTTATGCGAATACTTTCTGCACTCATTGCATTTAATTTTCAAGATTGCTCTGCGAAAGAAATGTAACGAACGCAACAAGCATATGCTTCTTCCTTTGATCATTTTAATTTTCCGTATATAATTTATTACACTTTTTATATCCTTAGAATACATTACTCGTACGTATAATTATGACTGATGTAAACTTCAAGTTAGAAGTACGCAAACAGTCTAATCGATAGAAGGCTTTAATTATCATCAGCCGAGTTTCCGTTGCACCAACTAAAAGCGTAGACTGCGGACAAAGGCATTTATTTTGTTTGCGCGCTTATTTCGTTTGCTACGAGAGCGACAAAATGAGAACGAGCTCGGCTCCCGCCGAGGCCGGCGCAGCGCGAGATAATTGCGTCGCGAGGGGAACCGCTAATCAGTTTTACGCGCTGATATGACGATTGCATGTACGAAACGACGTGGTGCTCGCGAGTGCGTTTCCGGCCGGGAGGACGCAGCGTGAATTGAACCGTCGATTAAAATTGGATTTGTTAATTACTGCAGGGAACGTGGCCGCCGGCGGTAGCAGCGGCGGCGGCGGCGGCGACGGTGGTCGGCGAGTCCCGATCCGGCTCATACCTTATTAAACCTTCATTTCGTAATTCCCACGCGCTGTCGTTTGTCATCGTCGTAATCAGCGGGACAGCCCTCGTCGCCTCGTCGCCCGAGTCACCGTTCTCTTACTCGCGAGAGAGAAGGATAGCGACACTTGCATTTTAAGATATTATCCCGCGCCGCATCTTTCCGCGCGATAATTTTCCGTGAATAATTAGCGAATTATTTGACTACCCGTTCGAGACCCTCGCAAACACGGGCCGCACCCGCATTCGCAAACAATCGATGCCGATAGGTTTGTAAATACCCGCACAGACGCAACGCCCCGACTATTGATATAATATGCGCCAGTATTTCCCTTTTATTCATGAGCTTGAGGATATTAATCCCGTATCATGTTTTTCAACACGCTCTTGCCTTTCGATTCTTCAATTTGTTACCCGCGCGTATCTCGCGCAAAATGTTCGCCTCATATCAATAATACGTATACTCGCGTAATTACAGAAACACATTCATTAAACCGGAGCGTTGCGCTAATTGACGTAGCCATTTATTAAAATACGCTCTTTAACCATAAATATTTTCGCTGGTCATCGCAATGTATATATTGGCGTATATACCGCTTCACAATGTACTATCGCGCATTATGGGTATTATTACGAATGTTATTTCACGATGCACATAATATGTATGCTTTTCCGTTTCAATTATTCATCCGCCTTATATATAAATCATGATAATTATAAAATTTATGTATACATAAGAACGTCGCAAATCCTATCCGTTTAAAACAATATCATAAATTTGCATTTGTATATCTTTCGTCGTTTACGTGATACATACGCAAAATAACATTACGAATTTGTAAATCTTTTCATTGCCGGCTGTTTACGTTGTGATAAATTGTCGTTAAACGTAAATCGCCATTAAAAGTGCCACTTATGTTAACAGGATATCTCGAATATTTGTGGTTTCGCTAAAAAAGTACATCAAGACTTCGGTGATCGGTTTTGCAGAAAATTATACGTATAAATTCACTCTCCGAAATACTTAATCTCCAAGATCCATTTCGACCGAAAATACATTTTTTTGGTCTTAATTAAAAAGATATAACCTTCGCGATAAAAATGCGTTGTATATTTGGTAGGCTCTCATTCATCGAGGGCTACAGCCCCGAGTTTATGTGCCGAGCGAGAGCGCGGCATCCCGGATCATCCCATTCCTCGATGGCGCTTATCATATATACGCGCCCCATGTGTGTGTGTGTGTGTGTGTGTGTGTATGTGTGTCGCTATCGCCATTTATACGCATACAAAACGCGTCGTTTCCCGAAAGCGCACCGGCGACGGTCGCGCATTTGTCAACCGCGAGAGAGTCCAGAGCGTCTGCGAAACTTCGTCGTTATCTCTCTTCGTCGTGTATTCCGCCTGACAAATCGCCGACCCGCAAGGGGGGGGGCAGGGTGGCAAGCAGGGACGTCTCGAAACTCTCTCGTCCTCGGGAGACCAAGACCAAGAACAGGAGACCTTCTTGAGGTCTCCTTCCTCCTCCCCGTCACGATCTTCCAGCGCGCGTCCTTGGCACCCTCGCTTGATTCTCTCACGCGAGAATTGCATTACTTCACCCACCCGTTCTTCCTCTTGCGCGTCGTCCTGACCCTCTCGTTCATCATCGTCCTCGCCCATCGGCGACCCGACCCACTTTCGATCCGCCCTGTTTCTCCTCTCGCATGAGAGGAAGAGCTGCTAGCTGCAGCTTTGTACCATTATTTGAACATCTACATCTACGCCTTTTGTGC